TTTGCGGTAAGATCGGTCACTCCACTCCCCGCTGCTTTCGTCGCCTGGACGACCTCTTTCGTCAGCGTTTCGGCCCGTCGCCAGACCTCCCGGACTGGCACAGTTTGCTTAGTCGTCAGATTCAGATCTTTGATATGGACATGGATGCCATTGTTTCTGCTCTGCATTTGATGTATGCTGATGACTCTAGTGTGCTTCCGACTTATTACTCACTGTTGCCTAGTGTAGGTGTGCCTCGCTTAGCCTCCCCTGCTGCGTCAGGCGTAGGATCCCCTGCTTTGTGTAGTCTTGGTGCTTCTGCCGTCGTTCCGTCGCCAGACCCCTCGGCTTCGCTTTCCTTCACCTTGGACTCTGGCGCCTCTCGGTGTTTCTTCCGGGACTCCACCACCCTGACGCCGCTTCCTGTTCCTGCTGCCGTTTCTCTTGCTGACCCCTCCGGCGGCCCGGTAGTCGCCCGCAGTTCCACCACCCTTCCCTGTCCGGCGGTTCCTTCGGGCTCTCTTACAGGTCTGCATATCCCCTTGTTCTCCAGGAACCTAGTTGGTGTCGGCTGCCTCCAGGACCTTGGCGTCACCACTACGTTCCCTGGTCACGAGCGGTATGCTGTCTGTACCGAGGCCGCCACTGGTGCCCCCCTGTCCACGTTCCCCCGGGACCCGGTGTCCGGACTGTTCACTCTGGACACCGTGCCCCCCCCGGCTGGAGCGCCCCCTTAGGTGGCTGTGTCTACCCAGGTTGCTGCTGCCTGCTCCTGTCGCTCCCTCACTCACCCGACCCTCCTGTGGCACCACCGCCTAGGTCACCCTGCGCTCCCGCGTCTGCGTCACATGTCCCAGCACGGTCTTGTCCTTGGTCTCCCAGGTTCACTCCCCGCGTTTCCCTCCTCTCCAGCTCCACCTTGCACGCCTTGTGTCGAGGGTCGGCTTCGCCGTGCCCCTCACTCCTCCTCGTTCCCCCCTACCGCCGCGCCGCTGCAGACCCTGCACCTGGACGTCTGGGGCCCCGCCCCCGTCCCTGGGCCGCGTCGCGAGCGCTACTTCCTTGTGCTTGTCGACGACTTCACTCGTTACACCACAGTCTTTCCCCTGGAGCGCAAGGCCGACGTGCCTGGCGCCCTCATCCCCTGGCTTGTCTCTGCGCGTGTCCACCGCGGTCTCCCTGTCTTGCGTCTTCACTCAGACCGTGGTGGCGAGTTTGCCTCAGGTGTCCTTGGTCGCTTTTGTCGTGCGGAGGGCATCACCCAGACGTTCACCCTACCGGACTCCCCACAGCAGAATGGGGTCGCTGAGCGACGCATCGGCTTGGTCATGGAGGTCGCTCGCACCTCCATGGTCCATGCCGGTGCACCCCATTTTCTGTGGCCGTTCGCTGTGCGCTACGCTTCTCACCAGCTTAACCTGTGGCCGCACCCTCAGCAGCCGCAGGTTTTGCCGACCCGTCTGTGGACTGGGTCTCCTGGTGACGCGTCTGCGTTCCACGTCTGGGGCTGCCTTGCTCACGTCCGTGCCTCCGGCACGGACAAGCTCACTGCCCGCACCCTTCCCTGCGTCTTCCTCGGTTTTCCCCTTGACGCGTCCGACTGGCACTTTTACCACCCGCCGTCTCACCGCTTCTTTCACTCTCGTGACGTCACCTTTGACGATTCCGTCTCCTACTACCGCCGCTTCCCCCACCGTGGTCCCCCGGTTACCCCCCCCCTGTTCCTGGTCACCCCTTCCCCGGTAGTCCCTGCCCCTCCTCCTCCTCCTCCCCGTCCCGCCCCCTCTGGTGTCTCCCATGTCACCCCCCTTCCGTCCGTGGACCCGGTTGAGGAGTCTTCTGACTCTGGTGACCCTCCGGTGCAGTCCTCGCCGGCCGCCCCTCCCCAGGTGTCCCCTCCCCAGTCCCCTCCTCCGCCGTCCCTTCCGCCACTGCAGCCGTCGCCGTCGCCGCCGCCGCAGTCGCAGCCCCCGTTCGCTGACTCTGGGGGTGCTCGTCCCGGTCGCCCTGAGGGTGGTCCCTCTGGGGGTGCGGGTGTGGAGAGTGCCGGTGGTAGCCGAGGAGCAGCTTGCGGTCCAGGTGTCGCCGTTGTGCCGCCGCAGCAGCAGTCCCCGCCGGTCTCCGCCCTTCGCCTGCTCGGCCTTCCGTCCCCCGACCCTGCGTCGGTTCCTCCCCGACCGTCTCCTCCTCTTCCTGTCTACGGCCCTGTTTTCCCTCCGCCGGACTCGTCCCCGGCCCGTCTCCCCCCTCGTTCCCCTCCTGTGTCCCCTCCCCTGTCTCCTGACCCGACTCCTCCATCGCACGTCTGGTCTCACCGTCCCTCCCGTGCTCGTCCTGCCTCGCCTGTCCTGCGCTCCCACCCTATGTTGCTTCGTTCACACGCGTCTCGTCCTCCCCTTCTGCCGTCACCTCCTCCGTCCTCCCTTGTTGTTGCGCCCCCCCCGCTGTCCGACTACCTTCGTGCCGCTCGTCCTCTCGTTCCTCGGGTCCTTGCCTCTCTCGTTACCGACCCGTCTGTTCCAGTCTCGTGCCTTGACGCTCTTGTCGCTGCTGTCGCTGACTTCGCCTCTACCCGCCGCCTTGACTACGCCACCGCTCTGGTCTCTGACCCTGCCTGTCCTCCTTCTGTCGGGGGTGCTCCTGCCCTTGGCAGTGACGTCCTGGAGGACCGCCAGTTCGAGCTTGCTTTCCTCTCCGAGGCTGCTCCCCATCTCTGTTCCATGCTGCTAGTCCCTGAGGGTGACCCAGACGCTTTCGACATCCCGACCCCTCGCACTTACGCTGAGGCGACTTCGGGACCCTGGGCCTCGCAGTGGATAGCTGCCATGGAGCAGGAGATGGCATCTTGGAGATCCACCGGCACCTTCGTCGACGCAGTTCCCCCACCTGGGGTGAACGTAGTCGATGGCCGCTGGCTCTTCAAGGTGAAGCGCCCTCCTGGAGAGCCGCCTGTCTTCAAGGCGCGCTATGTGGCTAGAGGCTTCAGTCAGCGCGAGGGGGTGGACTTCTTCCAGACTTTCGCTCCGACCCCGAAGATGACTACTCTTCGGGTTCTGTTACACCTAGCTGCTCAGCGTGACTACGAGCTTCACTCCCTCGACTTCTCCACTGCCTTCCTTCAGGGCAGCCTACACGAGCAGGTCTACCTGCGCCGCCCTCCGGGCCTTACTGGCACCTTCCCTCCTGGGACCCAGTGGCTCCTGCGGCGCCCCGTCTACGGCCTGCGCCAGGCTCCCCGTGAGTGGCACGACACTCTGCGTGCTACGCTTGCTGACCTGCAGTTCTTTCCGTCTTCTGCAGACCCTTCACTCTTCGTTCGTGCTGGCCAAACTCCGTTCTACATCCTCGTTTACGTCGACGACCTGGTCTTTGCCACAGCAGACAGGGACGCGCTGGCCTCCGTGAAGGCAGAGCTGCTGAAGAGACACACCTGCACTGACCTTGGAGAACTGCGCCGTTACCTTGGCTTGCAGATCTCCAGGGACAGAGCTGCGCGCACCATCACCCTGACTCAGTCACACTTGGTGCGCCAGGTCCTTCAGAGGTTCAGCCTTCAGTTCTCCTCTGCACAGCCCACCCCTCTGCCTGTAGACCACAGGCTCTCCGCTCCAGAGCCTGAGGAGTTGGTAGAGCCCAGCGGCCCCTACGCAGAGCTGGTGGGTTGCCTCATGTACCTGATGACTTGCACTCGCCCAGATCTCGCATACCCTCTCAGCATCCTGGCTCGCTTTGTGGCCACAGGCAGACACCGACCGCAGCACTGGTCTGCCGCTAAGAGGGTTCTGCGTTATCTTGCTAGTACATCGGGCATGGGGTTAGTGCTAGGAGGACGCAGGCCAGCGGTCCTTACTGGGCACACAGACGCTTCGTGGGCAGACGACGCTGAGACACTCCGGTCTACCCAGGGCTACTGCTTCAGCCTTGGCTCAGGTGCCGTCTCGTGGAGAGCTACTCGCTCCTCGTCTGTTGCACAGTCCAGCTGTGAGGCTGAGATCTACGCCGGTGCCATGGCGGCACAGGAGCTCCGCTGGCTGACCTTCTTGCTCACTGACTTAGGTGAGCGACCTAGCTCTGCCCCGGTCCTGTTCGCTGACAACAGGGCCATGATCCTCCTGTGTCAGGAGCCTCGACTCGAGGGCAGAGCGAAGCACATTCAGCTGCGGTACTTCCTCCTGCGTGAGCTACAGCAGCGACGTCAGGCTCGCGTAGTACACTTGGCCTCAGGTGCCAACACGGCTGATATCTTTACGAAGGCGCTTGCGCCTAAAGATCATCAGCGGCACTGTGTACAGCTTGGTCTAGTTCCTGTAGCCTCTCACTTGCTAGGACCTTGACTTTGTACTGTCCTTTATATGTATACTCAGACTGGACTTGTGTCCTCTCCCAGTGGCTGGACTAGTAGTGCCGCCCTGCTCTTGTGCTTGCCTTGTCTGTACTCCTTCTGACCTGTCGCTCAGACCCTTGTCTCAGAGGTTGGACTAGTAGTGCCGCCCTGAGCTGCTTGTTTAGGGTATTCCCCTATGCAGTCTAGGGGGTGTGTCAAACATGTGTATTTGTCATGTTTGTATAGAGTCACCTCTTAGAGGATACAAAACTTAGATATATTTGTGTGTACTCTCACTTTACCATTATTCAATTATTCTGATATAGTGGCCCTGCTGCTAGAAGGGTGGGTTTGTCGGTATTAGACGGAAAAAAACGGCCGGTCTGATAAATCAGATGAATGTGTACACCTGGTCTGATGTTTCAGACGAATTCTTATAACTTGTCTGAACAATCAGACGAATATATTTGGCTCGTCAAAAAATCAGATGAAACATAAAAACCCGGTCTGATTTTCATACCATCAGACCGATTTGGTCTGATAACGGGAGCCCTGGTGCCACCCTGAGCTGTGTGCTTCTTGCTTAGCACCACCCCTTCCCTAGCCTAGGGGGTGTGTCAAGTTATACATATACTGTATATAGAAGTTATAGGCTAGCCTAGGTGTGTGCTTCTAGTGAGTACAGTCCCAACAGGTATATGTTCTAGGTTTCTCACACTAGTGATTATTCTTGCGTTGTACAGTATGAATGGCATTCCAGCATGCCAACAGACTTTGGACGCACATACATGCATGCGATGGATACAAACACAAGCAGAGAAATGAAGCATTGGCAAGACCAGAAGCTAATCCTGTGGGAAACACTTATGACTACTGGATACCACTCCAGAACACTCCACACCACCCTCCCTTGTCTTGCCTTCTGTCCCTCCATTCTACCCTCCCTCTCTTTCCCTCCTTCTCCCCCCCTCCCTCCCTCCCTCGCTCATTCCCTCCCTCCCTCCCCGACTCCATCTTTCCCATTCCTCCCCCACTCCATCTTTCCCATGCCTCCCCCCCTCCTCTTTTGCTTTCCAGCTCCTCCGTTGACCCTTGAGATCCAAGATCTATCAAAGTCTTGAGCACATACTGTATAAAGATGTGCAGAGATGGCCTGCAGGAAAAAGTAGGAGAACAGAGAATTATGAGTCACACTAACATGATGTGTACATAAGCATGAGAGTTGTGAACGTATGAGTTCAACGAATATGTGCGTTCGTGACTGTAATAGCGACTGAAAGGAAGGAACTTGAGGGTTTACAACACAATCAAAGAACTTTCGATGAGTGAGAGCAAGGGTGGTTATACGGCCAAAATCCAAATAAGCATAGTGCAAAATGAGAAAATAGTGTAGGGCCCGCTGAATAGGGAAGACTAGGGATGGAAACAATGGCAATAAAGCACTTACAACTAACTCTGCCAAAAATCTCTGGCTTGGAACAGGAGCGTCAACTAGTTCCGCCCACTAAGTCAACGTAGAAGGGATGTTGTTAAAAGACTCACAAAAATACAGAAACGACAGAACGAGAGAGTGTGGGAGGGGTAGGGCACAACGGTCAGCACGATAAGAAGGTACTAGCAATATGTAGACCACCTGCACTACGACAAGCACGGCGCTAGTGCGCAAGCAGCCAGTGGACAGGGCAACTAGTGCACAAGCAGCCAGCGTGCAGGGCGCTAGCGCACAAGCCGTCAGCAAGCAAGCACTGAGCGTGCACGCAACCAACCAACACGCAGGGCGCTAGCGCGGCAACCGCCAGTGTCAAGGGCACTAGCGCGAAAGCCGCCAGCACGCAAGCAGGCAGCGTGCAGGGGGCTAGCGCACAAGCAACCAGCGCACAAGCCGCCAGTACGCAAGCAGCCAGCACGCCATGCACTAGTGCGCAAGCCGCCTGCAGGGTGTTAGCATGCAAGCAAGCATCGCGCAGCCAGCCAACGCATATTCGCAAGTGCGGAAGCAGCCAGCTAGCACACAGGGCACTAGCGCACAGAGCACTAGCATGCAAGCAGCAGTGCGCAGGGCGTTAGCGCACGAGCAGCCAGCACGCGAGCAGCCAGCGAGCAAGCAGCCAGCGCGCAGGGTGCCAACGCGCCAAGAGCCAGCGCGCACTATGCCAGCATGCAAGTTTTATGCAAGAAGGTACGTAAACCAAGAGTGGAGAGACAAGTCGAGAGTAAGAAGGGAAAAAGACAATGCAACTGAACAAATTGTTGCGGAAATAAACAAGTACAACTGAGATGCTTACTCACCTTGAACAACAGTCGTACCTTCCCTTCGCCATCCCCGCTCTTCCTCCTCTCCCCTCTGAATGCACACCGCTGCTGCCGTAGATCGCACCTCTAGCTGGCACGGCACGAGGGAGCCTGACACTCACCGTCCCAGCGAACGAGCCGCAAGCGCGCATGGCCCTAAACCAAGAGCTGCCTGATGCTAGGGCGGCTGGCGCCTGCGCTCACTTCCGCCCAGCACGCGTGGCACCAGCGCACAAGGGCCACTGGCGCCAGCGCGCACACGGCCAGCGTGCACGGCGCCAGTGCGCACCTGGCGCTTGCGCGCACGGCGCCAGCGTGCACGTCGCCTGCGCGCACAGCGCCTGCGCACACGGCGCCAGTGGGCACCTGGCGCCAGCGCGCAGGCGGCCAGCGCACACACGGCCAGCGTACATGGCGCCAGCGCGCACGACGTCAGCATGCACGGCGTCAGCGCGCACCTGGTGCCAGCGTGCATGGTGCCAGCGCCAGCACCAGCACACATGGCGCCAGTGCCAGCGCCAGCGCGCACGTGGCGCGAGCGCCAGCACCAGCACGAGTGACGGGGCGCGCCTGGCGCCAGCGCACACGGCTCTACGGCAACGCCGCATGGCGCCAGCACGCACTGGGCCAGCGCGTACGGCACCAGTACGCATTGCCCTACGGTGCATGTCATGAGGGAGGCTTGGGAAACAAGTGCCCAAGGGCTTGGACGCAGAGCAAGGGAGAGTAGGTAAGGGCAAGAGCTTGAGGGAGAGACAGAAATGAATGCGCACCAAACCAAACCCTAGCCACAGCCCGTTCAAGCCAACCCCAGTCAGCAGGAACCACCTTATCTTGTCGCTTGTTACACCTCGACAGCAAGTCACCTAATCTTTTCCTCGAGTACACCAGTATCATATTTCAAAGTTATACGACATTTGTAATCCATTTATGTTCACAAGAAATTTGGTTTGCGTGTTATACTTGGTGGTGACTACTTTCTGATATCAAGAAATAAATATCTAAAAGCGCTTCCAATAAATTATTTTAAATTTTTATAACTTATCTAACTACTTGTAAGAATGCATTTAATTAATATATTGGTTTTTTTATGCAATTCTGCATATTAGTAATGAAATGTAGAACCAAACAACCATCCGAAGAACACATCTACGCAACCCTCCTGACGGTAACACGTCGAGCCTTGTTTTGTCTCTGGGTATTCCGAGGCGAGTGTCAGACCCAAGGTCGACCCACGGCCGAGGAGCCGCGGGTTGTCACAACCTAACTGTGGTTTTATATTCCTGACGCGAAGGAATTTTCCATTCCTTAGCGCGCCACACCGCTAACACATACCCCAACCCCACACAGCACGAACACCTGCCCTAGTTTTGACCCGTACACACCACGCCAAACCATTTCACGTCACTCCAAAGCGTTCCGCGTCCACGAATGCCTTCTTTGAACCTATTCGATCACACGGCTAGGATTGCTCCGGTGTTCCTATATCTTGCTTCGTCATTCCATTTTACGACATTATGTTATTCTGAACCTCGACATTCAATTCCGCGCTACTCTGGTGAAACACCCATAATATCTGGTATTCATAACTACTTTCTTGGCCCCACTTTCGTAGGTGGAAAACTTTTCTCGAAGGGGGAGTGATTCGCCCACTAAGCTGCAAAGCGGTAGGCCACGAATTAGACGAATTATTTCCCCCGACTACGATAGCGTTTGCGCTCTTACCTGAGCACGGGTAATCACGGATATTCCCCTGCCCACCAAGCGTAGTGTCCGCCACATGGACCAGGCACAATTCGACGAGCGACTGGCGAAATTCGCCGTCACGGACTCTCGCCTGCAAGTTGTGTTAAACGACACCGAGAAACTTCGCACCGAAGTTACCGAACTTCGCCAGGTGCAAGAGACTACGCGCCAGAAGTCAACCGCCCTCGAGAACGTCACCAGCACTGGACGTGTCGAAACTGTATTGGACGAAATTGCACGCAAAGTGTCACTGGAGCGCCGAGATGATGAAGCTGAAGTAGCAACGAATGCCGCCGCACGTGCCACAGCTGCAGCAGCTGCGACAACGGCCGCCGCTTGCTCTAAATCAGCAGCTACAATTTTTGCAGCAGCTGTAGCCACACCAACTATACCAGTGGCCAAGATAAAGCCGGCGATGCCGCCCTCTTTTAACCCCATGGAATAAAACACCACCATGACGAGCTGGCTCCTTGATGGCAATATGCGATCGCGTGCGAACTGTTTGCATGAAGTGTGGTGACAAATTCGGTTTCCGCGCGCCGATGTTGGCGACGACACTCGACGGCTACGATGTGCTGCTGGGATAAGATTGGGGTCGGCGACACAACCCGCAGATCGATTGGACGATAGGCGAGTGCACAGTCAAGTGTGCAAATGGTCGGCAGATACTGCAAAAATGGTGAGGAGCAGAGCCGATAACGACACGCGTCAACGCTATCACGCTTTTACGCGCAGACAAGAAAGGTGCGGAATTATACGCTGTCCATCTGAAGGAATCTACAGACGATGATCAACTGGCTGACATCGATAAGCTTTGCGCAGGGGTCCCTGAAGATCTGGAAAAACTTATTCGTCAGTTCCCAGATATTTTTCTGGATGACCTACCACCTGGCCCACCACCAGAACGCCCTCAGGACCATTAGATCGATTCAAACCTGGCACGCAACCAACTGTTCGAACACAGTGACGGCTGACGCAACCCGAGCTTCAGGAATTACGGGACCAGCTGGACTACTTGCTGGCCAAGGGGTTCGTTCGAGCGAGCACGTCCCTGTGCCATGATCATGTTTACGCCCAAGAAACATGGGGGCCTCTGAATGTGCATCGATTATCGCGCCCTTAATCGGGGTACGATAAATTCTCGGTACCCAATCCCACGTGCGGACGAACTGATTGACCAGCTGCGAGGCACTCGCTATTTCTCGAAGATCGACCTTCACGGCGATTACCACCAGTTTCGAGTCTTCGTCAACGATTGCCACAAGACCACGTTTCGTACTCGCTACGGGAGCTACGAATACACTGTCATACCGTTCGGGTTAACGAATGCCCCCCCGACGTTCCAGCTGACGATGAACGGGGTATTCCAAGATCTACTCGATAAATGTGTGATAATTTATCTGGACGATATCTTGATTTACAACACTATATGTGAGCAACACGTAAAGGACCTGGAAGCGGTTTTTCAGCGCCTGCAGCAGAATCGTCACATCACCAAAGGCTCTAAGTGCGAGTTTTTAAAATCCGAACTAGAGTTTTTGGGGCTGGTTATTTCGACGGAAGGAGTGAAAATTGACCCCCGCTATCGGGCAATTCAGGAATGGAAGCTACCGACCAATCTCCAGGAGCTGCAATCGTTTTTGGGGTTCGTCAATTATGTGCGCCGGTTTATCCCCAACATGGCGAGGTTAACTGGAGCACTAACTGACCTACTTCGTAAGGGCTTCGGATTGCTGACCCAGAACGCCCATTCGAGGTCGTGACAGACACAAGTGACATCGCAATCGGAGCAGTTCTGCTTCAGGAAATTGGCGACGACCTTCAGCCAATCGTGTACGAGTCGCGAAAGTTAAAATCGGCCAAGGAAACTATCCCATACACGGCAAAGAAATGCTGGCGATCGTGCACGGGAGCCGACGTGACTGTACGAACAGATCACAAATCCCTACAGTTCCTACGCGCGCAACCGAATCTCAACCTGTAGCAGATTCGTTGGTTGGATCATCCGAAGTCGAGCTTGACGTACCGAATCACATACAAGAAGGGTGCCAACAACATTGCTGACGCCCTCTCCAGACTATTTGCCCAAAGCGCTGCTGTACTAATCACCCAGACGAACCCGTTGTTGAGCGGTCTATTTATCCACGGATATTTGACCAATCCCTTTTTCGTAAACAACGGCCACCAGCAAGTCACGACTGCGCGGGGAGCCTATTACGTCGGGAACGGAACGAATTTGGGTTCCGATCTATTGTCTACTTCGCGAATTACTAATTCAAGAAGTCCACGATTCGAACTTATCATGACATTTCGGGTTTGACAAGACTCTGAAGGCACTGCAACGTTTTTATTACTGGCTGGACATGATTTCGGACGTGTAAAGATACGTGGGCGCGTGTCCGACCAGCCAGACGACGAAAACGATCACGCCAGCGGTCAGCAAGACTGTTGCAGCCCCTCGAGCCACCCCAACGACCTTAGGAACACATGACAATGGATTTTGTCACCGGTCTGCCGGCCGGACCAAGTGGAAACGACGTGGTCCTTTGTCGTCGTCGACCGCTTCACGAAAATGGCTCATTTCGCGCCATGTCGCACGACGATCACAGCCGAAGAAACTGCGCGCTTGTTCATCTCGGCTGTCGTTCGCCTGCATGGTATCCCTGCGGCGATCATCAGCGACAGAGACCCAAAATTCACCTCGCGCTTCTGGCAAGACACGTAGAACCGATACGGCACGCACCTACAGTTCTCATCTGCAAACCGACGGTCAGACAGAACAGACTAATCAGACCATGGAACAGTTGATTCACATGAACTGCCTGGATATCAGCAAACTGGGAAATTTCGCTACCCATGCTTGAGTTTTCCTACAACAATGCACCCTCAGCCACGACCAATCATTCACAATTTTTTCTGAATTACGAGATGGATCCGACAGTAGCCATTTCCACCAACGTCGAAAGCCAAGTCCCCCGCTCGCAGCAGTTTGTTGAAGACCTTCAAACCGCCCACACGAAAGCGATCAAATTTATCCGAAAAGCCAATGTCATTGCCCGACAATACGCCGACCGCCACAGATGAGATAATACATTGACTGCAGGGAAATTAGTTCTCCTCGACACAAAAAACCTTCGCCTGCAGATACCGTAAAAAAATCGACCTCGCTACTATGGACCTTTCAAGATCATCACGATGATAACCCAGTGACCGCCCAACTCGGCCTGCCCGACGATCGGAAAATTCATAATTCCTTCCACGTCAGCCTCTTTCGTCATTTTATCGCTGATACGTCAACCGTCGCCCGATAGCCGATCACCCAGGATCTACGGCTGACCGAGGAGACGCTCATCGAACAAGAAACGATCCTGAGCCATCGCGTAAGGATCAACGGCCAGGAACAACACGTTGGGTTTTTGATAGGATGGACCCATCGTACTAATGAGGACGACACGTGGGTTCCCTCGGTACAAGTACAGTCACCTACCGTACTCTGGGACTATTTATCTCGCAAGCATATCGCAAATATAGACCACCTTTGCTAGAGGGGGGTAGTGTAAGGAATTTTTATTCCTTAGCGCGTCACACCGCTAACGCGTACCCCAACCCCACACGACACGAACACCTGTCATAGCTTCGGCCCGTACACGCCACACCGAACCATTTCGCATCACTCCGAAGCGTTCCGCGTCCTCGGATGCCTTCTTCGAACTTGTTCGATTTCGCGGATAGGATTGCTCCGGTGTTCCTATGTCTTGTTTCGTCATTCCATTGTATGGCATTCTGTTATTCTTAACCTCGACATTCGATTTCCCACTACTCTGGTAAAACACCCATAACAGACACATCTACGCAACCCTCGCGACGATAATACGTCGAGCCTTGTTTTGTCTCAGGGTATTCCGGGGCAAGTGTCAGACCCGAGGTAGACCCACGACCGAAGGAGCCGCGGGTTGTCACAACCTAACAGTGGGTTTTATATTCTCGACGGTGCAGTGGCTGCGCAGTCGCAAACTGTCGCAAGGGGAGGGTTGCGACTATACTGGCCGAATTTTACGGGTCCACCAGAAATTTGCGAGTTTATGATCAGTGGAAGTTCATGTGCGCGACATTGTTAGTTGTTCGGTTTGACTGCTGACTGTCTGGAGCTGTCTGTTTTTTCGCAAGACCCAAGGCATATTTTTCCGGCCTCGGAGCTTCCCGTCAAACCCTCGGGTCTAACACTCGCCGCGGATACTAAAATGAAGCTGACAATGTATTGTAGTTCAGGTCGCGTTCTGAAGTTTGGCAGAAATTTGAAGTTTAGCCACCCGACTCGCCACGTTTGAATTGCGCATTGCAATGTTTGGCGGGGCGATTCGAACTTTGGCCAACCAACCCCTACCACACCTTGCCGGCCAGAATTCATGCGACGGGGGTCCACGAACAGCTGCGAGCCTGCGACCAAGGGCGAAACCTGGTTTCTGCATACTTGGTTGGCCACGTGTAACAATCTCATTAATCTTGGGCAGGGGGCAGAAACAATAAAACCCTTATGGGCCCGGCATGGCATTCTGGATGGCATCAACCCTAAACTCGCAAAAGGGCCACGAATTTAGGGTTGATGCCAACCAGAATGGCATACTCGTCCCTATGGGTTTTAGTTTTTTCTTGCCAGCTAGCCTGCCCGAATGTTGTCAGTCATTTTCAAAGCGCTACAGATCCCACAATATCGCAGGAAACAGAGTTCAATAGCCCCAAAGTGACGGAGCAAGGAGATTGTGACGCGTGGTTTTCTGTGGTGCGAACTAACCTCAAAGAACAAAAAATTGGCCCGGGAGGGTTGGAACAATGAAAAACCCTTCCGTGAAAGGGCTAAATGTTACTCAAAAGAGTAAAACTCCAGTAAGGGTTACCGCTAACCTAAAAACCCAGATCCCTAGAAGTACTGCCTGACAGCCAATCCCGTATTTCCACACAACCAACCTACCTGCCGTTGAACTACGTGGCACACGGGTTTTAGCCTTTTTATTATGGTGGAAATTTGGTGGAAATGTTTCAAGACAACTTTCCCAAAATTATCCGGAAGCTGGCCATCAGCTGTCTGCAGTCCTCTGCGACCCAAATTGTGTTCTGTCGCATATCGTTCTGCGGATCGCCTGCCGATTTGATTTGGCGCGATGGGGTTGCGTTCGCAAAATGTCGAGGCCTGGTCGCCTAGTTTTTCGCATCGGGGTTGGCCAAAGTTTACTACCACAACTTTTGCCAACCTAAAACTTCAATGTTTGGCCAAACTTTCGCTGACGTGGCGAGTCGGACGGCCAAACTTCAACTCGGCCAAACTTCAGAACGTGATCTCAATCTTGAGGATTGCTGATCCCAAGTTGCAGGGCATATTCCGCTCACAAATGCCGTGCTGATGAGTTGGAGATGATACGCCCGACTTGACGAGACGAGACGCCCGACCGGTCAAATCTGGGGCCCAGAATTCCCCGACCGGTCGCCGCAGCCGAACCTCCAATGCCCAGGGTAAGGTAGGCAGCCCAGTCACCTAACCTCACCCCGCGCCGAACCATACGTTGGCGCTCCCAAACCCAGCCGGTTCGCGTATAGCAAATGCCTGCATTCGCGCAATGCTTCCCCCACCTGTCCCCCATACTCACTACGACCTTCCGCATTTCCCCTTTTCCCTCCCCCTCCCTCCCCCCCGTCACGCTCGAATTCCGCCCCTCCCGCCAAACCCCCGATCCCCGTTCCCAAACAGACATGCTATGTCGGCCCAAACACACTTCCGTACATTACAGAAATCCGACCCGCCGTAACCGTGGCTCCTCTCTTGTCCCTCCCCCCCTCTTTTGAGCCCCCTTGACGTCCATTCCTAGTTCCATCTACAACTCGCGTGTGTATGTGCATTTCGATTCTCGCTCGATCCTACAACTTACGCACTGGCCTCAACTCAACCACCAGCCACGATCATTCTCGTAACCAGCACGCACGCATTTGCTCGCAACGAGCAACCGCCGGTTGGGACGCGCGGCAGTAACCGCATGCGACGAATGCAGCAGTACTACTACGAGTACCACTCCTAGTAATGTTCTCGTCACCGCAGCACCATAATGAGGTTCGGCTCGCGCCGCGCCGCCACTGCCGTGACCAGTGGCCACCACACGCGCGGCGGAGGCTTAGAGGACGCCGATCAGCGGAAAAGCTAGCAGCTGTAGTCGAGGACTTTCGAGCAAGTCCGCCCTCTCTAGCCGTAGTCGTGCTGCTCCTACTCGGCTCCTCCGCTGCACGGGGCTCAATCGGCGGCGCTGACGCGCGAGGCGACGGCCATCGTGATTCGATCCGCAGCGGGATTCGCGGGGATCCTCCCGCCGGCGGGCAAGCAACGCCGCCAACGATCCGGGCCGCATTGATCGGGCCGTCGATCGGGCCGTCGAACCGGGCGTCGAAGCCGGCGCCGGCGCCGGCAACGCGCCTCGTGCTCCTGAGAAACAACTCGCTGGGCGCCAAATGCCTTGACGGCAGGTGCGTGCGCTTGGGGGGAAGAGGAGGAGGAGGGGGAAGGGTGGGGGGGGTGGGGCCTGAGAAGAGTTGATTTTGTATCATTATGAAAGATCAGCGGGACGCGGAGCAAATGGCTCGCCGTCAGATCGCCGATCTCAGAAAAGGGGGCGGGTGGAGGGGAAAAGGGGGCAGGTGGAGGGGAAAAGGGGGCAGGTGGAGGGGAAAAGGGGGCAGGTGGAGGGGAAAAGAGCGGGATGGACTAATCCCGAGTGACGAGTCTTGTACTCGTACGGCGTCTCGGAACGCCAGTACCGCTGCTGACATGCTGTCTTAACCGCCCCCTACGACAGGCCAAGTTGTGCCTTTAATCTCCACAGTACTACTAGCTAGTGGCTAGAGTTTCTGTTTACATTAGCATGACCTTCCCACATGCCCGTGTGTTTCTTTATCCGTCGCCGTGCCTTCTCCGCCGTCAGACGTGACGTCGTCTGCAGACTTTGCATCCGCTGGCGCTCTGCCTCCCTTCCCTCATACCATTCTCATGCCATCCACCACCTGCCTCACCGCGTCCCCCCGTCTCTCCCTCTCTCTCCCTCCCCCTTCCTCCCCCCCCCCCCCCCCCCCCTCTCTCCCCAATCCAACCCTTCGTTTCCGCCTGTGCAGTCCCCCAGGGTACTACTTCCGGCGCGGCAAGGGCGCGGGGCGGGCGAGCTGGCACGTGCACCTGCCGGTGGGCGCGTGGTGCCTGGACGAGCCCAGCTGCCTGCGCCGATCACGCAGTCGCCTCGGCTCCACCACTTACTGGGCGGCTAACGCTGCTGCTGCTGCCGGCCGGGTATGTTCTTTGGGTTGGGTTTGGGGGGGCCCTAGGAAAGGGCGCAGGGCCCTTACTACTTACTTACAGCTGTTTCAGGCGATTGCACAGTCCCGTTGGCTCCACCACTTGCTGGGCTGCTGCTGCTGCTGCCGCCGCCGCCGGCAAGGTACATGGGTTTGGGCACTAGGAGGGCGCTTACAGCTGCAGCATGCAATCGCGTGCGCCAGTGCTGTGCGGCAGTGCTGTGCGGTGCGGCAGTGCTATGCGCCAGTGCTGTGCGCCAGTGCTGTGCGCCAGTGCTGTGCGGCAGTAGGTTGTTGCCATGTGAGCGCACAGGCACAGGCGCAGGCATGAATGGCAGAGGAGAGATGCGGCGAGCGCGCGCACCATCCCCGCCCGCCCTATATCTCCGCCTGATTCAAAACCCGCCGTCACCATCACCGTTCTCACTCTCAATCCCCCCCCCACAAACAAAACCCAAACCCTCTTCCTCGGTGCTCTCTTTCCGCCTCTCCCACAGCTTCCCTCCCCTTCCCTTCTCTCCACTCCCCTTCCCTTCCCTCCGCTTCCCTATCCTCCCCTTCCCCCCCTCCTCCAGCGCGGCAAGTCCTACCCGTCGTTCACGGGGCTGCTGTCACCCAGCAGCGGTGTCAACCCCGCCTTCCACGCGTGGAACCTCGTGTGGCTGGTGTACTGCGATGGGGGCGGGTACACGAGCACGCGGGGGAGGGTCAACGTGGGGGGCAACAGGAGCGTGCACATGGATGGGTGGAATATAGTGCAGGCCGTGATGCAAGGTGCGTTGTACATGGGTATGCAATGGAAGCAACCCGAGGCTGGTGTACTGCAAGAGGGGGGAGGAGGGGGGGGGAGGGGGGGTGGTATTCGGGTACACAGGGGAGCGTGGACGTGGGTGGGGGAGGCGACAGGAGCGTGCACAAGGATGGGTGGAATATAGTGCAGGCCGTGATGCAAGGTAAGTAAATGGCACTCTATGGTAGCACTCAGTTCGTGCTTGGTAGCCACTCTCACTCCCTCGAGATGTGTGTGGTAACACAGTTACACATGCTTCGATTGGATTGAGTTGGATTGTGCTGGACTGATTTGGATGTTCTTGAAATTATTTGACTGAGTTGGGTTGAGTTGGATGTACTTAGAATTAATTCGATTGAATTGGACGTGGTGACGCTGTGTGCCACCTCCACCTTCCCTCCCCCCTCCCTCCATGCCTCGCTCCCCCACCATCCCCCACTCATCCTTCACCCCAGACTTGAATCCGAGGCGTGGCATGGCATGGCAGCGCCCTCGAGCGTTCTCCTCTCTGGCAGCTCAGTGGGCGGGCAGGCAATGGTGATGCTCGCCTGGCTGCTGCTGTGTGAGTGACTGCCTGGCTGCTGCCTTCCCTGTCGCCTCTCCGCACGACTCACTCACTCACTTCCCCACCTCCCCCCATGCCCCTTCCCCTCAGACTTGAGACAGAAGCGTGGCATGGCAGCACCAGCAAGGATCCTTCTGTCTGGCAGCTCGGCGGGCGGGCAAGCAGTGGTGATGCTGTGCGACCGCGTGGCTGCTGCCTTCCCTGCTGCCTCCACCAAGTGCTTCGCTGATGCTGCATTCCTCGCAGGTCAGTGCTTCTAGTGCTGCTGCTGCTGCCGCCGCCACTGCTGCTGCTTTTGCCACCTGGGGGGGGGGTCAAACATGCATGGAACATGGTGCACGGTCACGTCATTGGTACACAGGGCATGGCCATGGGGCCAATGTGCAAGGGCATGACGTGTCACATGGGTAGATGGGGTAGGTCCGAGCACAGTGTACCTTGCTTTTAGTTTACCCTAGCTCTCGGCTGGTCCCTGCAGCACGCACCCATGGGCTGCAGATGCACGTGCAGCTCAGGACCTTGGAGGCTGCCAAGCAGGGGGGACTCTTGCCCCTGTCTGTGTCTAATTTTGAGGCGCTTCAAAAACAGATGATGCACGTGCACCTCAGGGGTCAGGGTCTTAGAGGCCGCCAAGCAGGGGGCCGTCCTGCCCCTGTCTCTGTCTTATTTTGAGGCGCCTCAAAATGCGTGAGAAGTCAGTCATCCTGATAGAGCACCAAGTGGGTGGGTGGGTGCCATGGGGTTACTCTTGAGTCATCTCAACAAGTCACTGCGCCATCACGACGCGGGGCTCAACTCAACTCAACTCAATCATCCCCTTCCAACTTTGAGTTGACCATGCGCATGCTCAACCCGAAGGTGCAGGTGCAGGCGTCTCAAAGTGCTCCTGTGTCAACGAGCATGCATCGCATCGCATCGCGTTACATGTGCCATTGCATCTGTGTGGGCCTTAGACTTCTTCCCACCCATGAGCTACCCCGCGCCCTCTTGGGTTGGCCCCTAAGCCCATTGTTGCCTTGCCTGCCAGCACACTCTCCTCTCTAACTACTCTTGACTCTCACTGCAACACCAACACGCGATCTCCTGCTCGTGTCGTGCCTTTAGCATCGCACGTGCAGATCCCCCCCCCCCCCTTCCCCCCCCCACGTGCAGATCCCCTGCCCCTCCCCTCCCTCCCCTCCTCCTTTGTCCTCCCCCTTCCCCCCTCCGTCCACCCGCCCTCTCCCACGTGCAGATGCCAGGGACCGGTTTGGCCAGTATCGGTGGCGGGACATGGTGCGGCAGATCGCCTCGCTCCACCAGATAAACATCCCCTCTTGTCCCAAAGGTATTCTTCACTCGCTCGTAACAGAGGGGCTGCGGTGCTCACAGAAATGCGCAAGGTTCAAACGCCCGTGTGAAGAAGATAGCAGATCTGACTTTTGAGTGGACTCAAAAGTCACCTCGTTACAATGTCACACAACACTAACGCGCAAGGCTCAAACGCCCGGGCGAAGAAGATAGCAGATCTCACAGTGCGGCAGCAAGTGGCCTGGCCTCTCCACCAGATCACCATTTCCTTTGCCCCCAAAATACAACAGCTAGGGGTTATGGCTGGCACACCTGCACTGGTGCTGGCACACCCGCACTGGTGCTGCAAAGAAACGAACATGATTATTATTGCTCGTCCCATGCTGTGCCCTTCACTCAGCTGGTTCGTGCCCCATATGGATTGCCATGTCTCATGCCCAATGGCCTGTCCTCCCATTCCTTACTTCACCTGATGGCTAACCTCACCCCGTGCCTTACCTCACCCCATGCCTAACCTCACCCCGTGCCTTACCTCACCCCATGCCTTACCTCACCCCATGCCTTACCCCACCCTCTGCCCTACCTGATTCGCCCATGCCTTACCTCTCACGCCCATTCCTCCCCTTTCTCCCCCTTCCCCAGGCGCCTCCTCAGAAGGCCCCTGGATGTGCTTCTTCCCCCAGTACGCGCTGCCCACCGTTGCCACGCCCATCTTCATCTACCAGTCACTCTTCGACCTCACGCTCATTGAGCACGGCAACCAGCTCGGCAGCAACCGGGTGTACAGTATCAAGTGCCTCAAAGACGAGCTGTTTCAGCAGCAGCCGAATGTGAGCTACCTAGTGGAGAGGAAGATGTGGGACCAGGTGGCTTGGAAGGACCGGTTCTGTACGCCGGAGGAGAGGATAGCGCTGCTTACTATGGCGTCTACAGTCTACAGTGAGCTGCGGGATATAGTCACCGTGGGTAGCAGCACGGTTGGGGCTTATATAGTGAATTCATTAAACCATGCTGTAATTGCGTCAAAGGATTGGGGATCACTTAGCGTTAGAGGAATGCGACTAAGGTCGGTCTTTACAAACTGGTATTTGGATTGGAGCAAGCAGAGTGTATTCATCGATGATTGATGATCATAATGAAAGAAAGCCAATTTCATCTCTGCCCGCGTGTGCACTGCTCTTGTCTGCGCAGCAGTACAATGTAGTAAAGATAAATCATCTAGGGCTCTACGATGACCTCTGCACTGCATATTCCTTGTCGAGCCTTCACCCTTGTCACGACAATCGGACTGAAACTCAAATGTACTGTGCTTGCTTGCTGATGCCCGTGCAACGCACAAGCAGCTACCTGTGTGACATACCGGTCCAGGACTACCACTTGCCACGCCAGTGCAGAAAGTATCAAAAACTCACCAGTCCTAACCACCGGGACAAGACGGAATGTCCTCAGGATGGTAAGGCTGTCATGTCAACATATAATTTGTATATGTTATAGGCTAGATAGGTGCATGCTCATAGAGGGTACAGCACCATAGCACAAAACCTCCCTGTATGGCACAATCTAGTTCATTGCGTTATTCTAACATGGTATCACGCTAGATTAGCTTCCCCCCTCCCCGCCTACGCTTCCGTCCCTAGCCCTAGCTCTTGCCTTAGACCGCGCCCTTGCATGCGCCCCGTCACGCCGCGCTGGCCCCGTCCCACCGCACCGGCCCCCCATCACGCCGCGCCTGCCCCGCTAGACCGCGCCAGCCCCATTACGCCGCGCCGGCCCCGCTAGACCGCGCCAGCCCCGTCAAGACGTGCTGGCCCCGTCACTCCGCGCCGGCCCCATCACGCCGCGCCGGCTCCGTCATTCCTCGCCGGCCCCGTCATGCCGCGCTGGCCACGTCACTCCGCGCCGGCCCCGTCACGCCATGCCGGCCCTGCCGTATCACGCCGCGCGGAGCTGCCAGGACGCTGCGCCACGCCGCCGAGCCGCCGAGTGGCCGAGCCGCCACGTCACCGAGTTGCCGTGTCACCGAGCTGCCGTGCTGCTGTGCCGCCCCGACCTGCCAGCCCTGGTTCCCCCTTCTGCGCCGGTGCTCTTGCCGGCCGTCACCACCGCTGCTCTCCACCGCCCTCTCCTCCTCCTCCCCTAGCAGCAGTCAGCTGCTGCAGCCGTGACGATGGCGGACGCTGGACGTGGAGGGTCGGGCGATCGACTTTAAGGCGTGGCTCGCCGACCACCGCCGTTCGCTGAGGGGACAGTGCGAGGATGGTCAGTCTCTGGCCGTTTACATCAACGGTAAGATCCCCTGCCCCGACCTGCCTGCTCCCCTCTCTGACGCCCCCACGCCCGCTGAGTGTGAGGCCTTTGCAGCTGCTGAGCTTGCTCGCTCCGTCTGGGAGTCGCGTGACGCAGTTGCGCAACTTGCTATCAGTCGTGCCCTCCCCCTGTCTGAGCGTCCCCCCTACCAGGCCCTAGAGACTGTGCATGCGTACTTAGATGTTGTTATTGCACACTATTCCACTCCCTCCTTCGACTCAGCCAGTCGTCTTTTCCCACTGTCGCTGATCTCGCCACTCACCTGCGCACACTAGAGGCTAGCTACCGCGCTGCTAGCATTGAGGCTCAGCTCCTTGCACTGCCTCCCCCCTTCGGTGCTACCCTCTACTTCCTTGCCACGTGCCTTCCTAACTTCCTAGCCACTGCCCGTGACCACTTCCTTGCCCTCCACCCTGCTGACCTCACCCTCACTGACTTTGTCACTACCCTGACCACAATAGAGACCCGCCAGTGCACTATAGCTCAGTCGAGCGGTACTGCGGCGGTCCCTATTTTCCAGGGATGTGCTCCCTCCCAGTGCACTTACTCTGACATCTTTGGCGCTGTTGCTGAGACGACCCGTGCTACTAAGACCGCTGCGGTGGCCTCAACGCAGACTCGTCAAGGTAGGGGACGCCGGGCTCGGGGGGGGGGCGTGGCGGCGGGAGGGGTGGCGGGGGTGGCGGGAGTGGCGGAGGTGGCAGAGGTGGTGGAGGGGACGGTGGTGCAGACAAGGGGACTGGGGCTGGTGCCCCAGAGCAGCAGCAGCAACAGCAGCCTCAGCAGCAGCAGCAGTCGCTGTGGGGACCCACGCCGCCGTGGTGGACTGGCGGTGCTGGTGGTGGTGGGGGGCGCAGCTCGGTGTCGAGTGGCGGCTCCAGTGTGGTCACCTGCCAGTACCAGCTTCAGTCCGGCCCCTGCCGCGGCACCATCTATGACCAACCCGATCACACCGCCGCCTTGACGACCTCTTCCGTCTCCGGTTCAGCCCCACAGCGGACCCCCCCGACTGGTACATCCTGGTGCGTCGTCGTGTGCCTGTTTTTGAGATGGACATGGATCATATTAGGTTTTCTTTGTATGCCATGTATGCTGATGACTCTAGTGTAACTGGACCCTATTATCCGGTGTTGCCTAGCATAGGTGTGTCCCCTATGTGTAGTCTAGGTTCCCTTGCTGCGACAGGCGTAGGACCCCCTACCTTGTTTAGCCTAGGCTCCACGCTAGCCCCTCCGCCGGTGGACGCTACTGATCTGCTCTCCTTCACGCTCGACTCTAGAGTGTCTGCCTGATTCTTCCGCGACCACACTGCGCTCATACCTCTTGCCGCCCCTGCCACTGTCGCGCTTGCTGACCCCTCCTCAAGTCCGATAGTTGCCCGTAGCTCCACCACCCTTCCCTGTCCGGTGGTCTCCTCAGGTTCTCTTACAGGCTTGCACATCCTCTCATTCTCCAGGAACCTAGTTGGTGTCGGATGTCTTCTGGACCTCGGCGTCACCACTACGTTCCCCAGACATGAGCTGTACACGGTCTGTACCGAGGCCGTCACTGGTGCTTCTCTGACCACGTTCCCCCGGGTCCCTGTGTCTGGCCTGTTTACGCTTGACACTGCGTCCCCCTTGGTGAGGGGGTCTCCCCATGTGCCTGCGTCGACCCAGATCGCTGCGGCTTGCTCGTGTCGGTCGCTCACTCACCCGTCGCTGTTGTGGCACCACTGCATAGGTTACCCTGCACTCCCGCGTCTGCGTCACATGTCCCATCATGGTCTTGTCTTCGGTGTCCCTGCCTCGCTCCCTGCCCTTCTTCCCTTGCCTGTGCCGCCATGTGTCGAGGGCCGACTGCGCCGTGCTCCTCACTCCTCCTTGCTCCCCCCTACCACTGCGCCACTCCAGACCCTGCACCTGGACGTCTGGGGCCCAGCTCCTGTCCCTGGGCCGCATCGTGAGCGCTACTTTCTAGTGCTTGTGGACGACTACACGCGCTACACCACGGTGTTTCCCGTAGAGCGGAAGGCCAACGTGCCTGATCTTCTTATCCCGTGGCTCGTAGCTGTGCAAATCCACCGCAGCCTTCCTCTGCTGCGTCTCCACTCTGACCGTGGCAACGAGTTCACCTACAGTCGGCTCGGCCAGGTTTGTCGTGCAGAGGGCATCACCTATTCGTATACCCTGCCGGACTCCCCGCAGCAGAATGGGTTTGCTGAGCGACGCATCGGTTTGGTCATGGAGGTGGCTCGTACCTCCATGATCAATGCCGGTGCACCCCATTTTCTGTGGCCGTTCGCTATTCGCTACGCCGCTCACAAGCTTAACTTGTGGCAGCACTCCCAGCGGCCGCAGGTTTTGCCGACCCTTCTCTAGGCCGGGTTCCCTGGTGACGCATCTGTGTTCCACGTCTGGGGCTGCCTTGTTCACGTTCGTGCCTCTCGCACGGACAAGCTCAGTGCCCGCACTGTCCCATGTGTCCTCCTAGGCTTCCCCTTAGACATGTCTTGCACTTTTACCACACGCCGTCTCACCGCTTCTTTTACTCCTGTAAGGTCATTATTGACGAGTCTATCTCCTTCTACCACCGCGATTGTTATTAGAATGCGGAATTTACTCTTAGTCGGATTTTTTTAAAAAAGTGAAATCCTCTCTCCTTTTTTGCCGAATCAGTGTTTTTTTAGTACACGACCCTGATGGAAAAGCGAACTTTTGCCAGGAAACACGGATGAATCAGCGTAATGTTTCTTGAGGAGGCTGATGAAAAGTTTTTTTTGGAACCTGACACTGAGCAATCAGGACAGGCCCCCAAATTGGTTTTGGGGGTGTCTGATTCATCAGACTTGCCTGCCATCCCTTGGTATGGCCATCAGAGTCGCCCCTAAAAAAAACTCTGAAAAATCAGAGTAACAACAGTTTTTTGGTATGATTAATCAGAGTTACCTTTTTTTTCAACTCTGATTTCAAAACTGGTGTGCTGCACAGCTACTTTCTCCTTCCCTTCCAAACTGCCCTTCTCGCCTGTAGGGCTTTCTCTTATTCCGTGCTCTAGCTATCTGTGTGGTGGCGACTTCACTCTTCATTTCGTGCCACCCTAGAACCGGCCCGCGCCAGCAATTGAGCATGACTGATGGCGAGGGTTGGGTACAGGGCTCTCACCAGGCCTTTCTCAGACGGAAGATTTTTTATTTTCTAATCCTCCAGACAAACTGAAATACGATATCTAAAATTCCAGATGAGTCTTTCAAGAGTTTATCAAAGCCCTCCTTCCCCATTCCGCGTTTAGTAATTTCACATGCCCGAGCTTATTCGCCGAAATTGGTTGGTGGAGAAACTCGTTCATGGCGAATTGTGTTTGGGGCACGAAATCGGGGGATGGGGCGAAAAGGAATCGTGGGGCGGGCAAATCAAAATTGCAGGGGAGGGAGAAAATCGGCGCCATCCAGGTGGCTACAGTTTATCGTTATGGGCCAATGGGCGCCCTCGCACACAAAGCCTGCAGCACACATCGGCAATTTTTTTGAAGGGCCAATCGGCCCCTCACACCGCACCCAGCACAAACTGGGAGGTGATATTGGAGAAGGTCCAGTCAACTCCCTCACACTGCCCCCAATACGCATTGGCCGTTGATTTGGGTGAAGGGCCAATAACTGCCCTCACAAAGCCCCCAACAAGCATCTCGCCCTGATTTTGGCTAAGGGCCAATCAGCGTCCCCGCACAGGAAAATCACGCTCCCCCCCTAAACCTGGCATTACACAAATCAGAGTCGACCCCACATACAGAGTTGAGGCATCAGAGTACACTAGTAAAAAAAGTCTGAAAAATCAGCGTAGGTACATAAATCTTCTCTGAAAAATCAGAG